GTCTGAGGTATTTTTAAGTCCCATCCATTTATTCTGTGAGATGGAAAATACTGAAGTGTGATTAACTGGAGATTACAATGAAATTTGAATACATGTGAAATGTTGACTGTGGCTTCTGGTATTTTCCTGCTAGATCTCGCAGATGCAATGGAGTTGCAATGGAGTTCTCTCTCTGAATAAGATCTCTGCACATCTCTGCCTCCTGACTGACTGTATTCCCTGATGTCCAGTTCTGTGTTATCCAAAAAGTGCAGTAAGATGTGCTGCTTATCTCCAAGACCTTAGATTTCATACAGCTCTTGTGTTTGCAGAGCACAGGGTAGTGGGGAGTGAGGCTCCAGCTCAGGGGGGAAAGGGCTGGGTTCAGGAAGGTTGTTTGTCAGGAGAAGTGGGGTTTCTGTGAGGAGAACAGGGAACTTGATGGGTCAAGGAAAATAGTTGGGTTTTGGCTGTATTTCCAAATTTATGTGAGCATACAAAGGGCAGCAAATGCACAGAGAAGGCTGTTTAGGGGATTCTTGGTGGAATAGAAAAATGTCACTTATTACTGTGGGTTAATAGTGGACATAACCAGCCTGTTAGCAAAAGGGACATGTATTGTTTAAGGAATTCTTCCTCTGTTCTCATTCCCCTCAGGTTTCATGAGTGATGACAAAGGTATTCTGATAAATTTCTTAACAGGAAGAGAGACAGAAACCTGATTTATTTGCTTTCTATACTGCTCTGAGAAGTGTTTTGTGGTGGTAGAATAGGTTAAATGGTAGAGGTGCTTACAATTACTCTCCTCTGCCTTGTGCTCTCCAAAGTTTTGGGAAGGAGCCTGGTCAAATGTGGTCTGACAGGAGGAGGTGGAGGTACTGTGTCAGTACTGTTCAGTACTTTCCAGAAGTAAAAATTCCCTCCAATGTGAACCCAGGCCGAGGTTCTTGGGTTCTTCAGTGGCAGAGATGGAAGATATCTCTAATCAGACTCCCAAAATGTGTGTGTGTGTGTGTTTTCCCATCCCAACTAAAGCCAAGTTTCTTGTAGAGCCCACAGTGGATGCCTGTGGGCTGAGGACATCATGCATGGTGTGATGTCACCAGGGCAACCTTCTGAGAGCTAGAATGAGAATCTGGTGAGATCAGATTAAATCATATGTCGTGCTTTCAATAAGGCACATTTTCTTTACCCCAAGTTTGTCTCTGGAGATGACAATGAATTCCTTTGATACAAATGAAGATGGAGCAACTTCTGCGGAACACTTTTTTAGGAGCTGTTTTTTCTTCTTCCATTTTTTTTTAATCTGCAAGAATCCCTCCTGTGCATGCTGCTCTCATTACATACAGAGCTCTTCACCCAGCATAGTTGAGATGCAGCATTTTAAAGCCTACAATTGGTGTTTTTTCTCTTCAAGAGGGTGTTAACAGAGGGTTACAATTATACATACATTTTAATATGTAACCCTCTATTGTAAACAATTCACTCTTAATATGTCTGGCTTTTGTTTGCTATGAAGTTATACAATATACCTGGATAAATGATTCCCTTGGCTGTATAGTAGTTTCTCCATATAGGTACAATCTCACTCCAGTCATCCTAGATTATTTTTTAACATAATCTGATTTAAAAAGAAAACCTCCTCCCTGTTTATAAAAATATTATTTGTTCCTGGCTTTCATACATATATTTGAAGGAAAGAAATGAGTGATACTGAATAATGACTAGCACTCAGTCTCTCTAACCACAAATTATGCACCTTTATTTGCAATTTATTCTAAATGTTCATTGTTGTTGGGGTTTCTCTTTGTGTGTTCTCTCATCTTGCTGTGCATATTCATGCTCAGAGCTCCCCTGAATCCATATGCAGAAACACAAGTACCTGAGCCGGATTGTGGAGTGTGAGCTCCTGGAAAGGCACAGACACTTGTGTGGTTGCTGTGAGATTGGGTTTAGACTCAAAAATCAGTGGGTGGAGAAAGACAAAGACAACTATTGCACCATTACCTAGCCCATATAGAAATGGAGGCATAAGTGCTGTTGATATTGGAGCAAAGCAGGAATAGGGAGGAATTGTTTCTGTGCTGCCTCAGAATGGAATATCCTCCTCCCTCTTCTTTGCTGGGGTGTGTCCTTGAGATACCATCTAACTCTGTCAGGGAGAGCACACAATCTCATCTATAAATAACAAATATTTCTGTAGCATAAACGCAGATGCCTATCTGAATAAGATCCCTCTTAGGAAAAGTTTATTGTGTAGGAGAGGAACCTCTGGATGGAAACACTGGAAAACATTTCTCTTCCCTGCAGAGGAAAGCCCTTGCTCAAGATGCTCTGGATGCCAGGTTAGGCTAATGACAGCAAAGGGCTGTGGGGCTTATCCCACTCAACATAAACTACATGTGTTTGAGGAATACTTTAAAAACAGTGCTCTCAGTGCCCCACTGAAGCAGCAAAGAAATGGAGATAAACCCTCCCTGCCTTTTGTACCCCTGCATTTTTGTCACTGATGACAGCAAACTGGCATTCAAAAAGTTAAAATTTCTTGCTGAGCATCCAGAGACAGGCACTGGGGACACAGAAATAGGTTTTAGTTTGTTCAGTTAGAGAAGAGCACAGTTTCTAGTCCCATAGGTTTTTCTGTCATGGACTGTAGAAATAAATGTGCTTTAAGAAGTCAGCTCCTTGTACTTCCCTGGGTTGGATGGTGCAGATGGATGGTCCTGAACAGCTTCACATTCAGGTGTCTGCATTCATGATTTCTTGATTTGTGAACTGACTGCTCCAGAGAAGATCCAAGCTGGGTGAGAGGATGAGGAACAGTACCAAGCGAAATCCTGTCTCCCCTGAAATCAAGGGCAGCATTCCTCAGATAACATCTCCCACTAGTCCAGCCTCCCACCTTCCCTGTTCCCCAGAAGTAATGTGAACTATGAAATAAATCAGTTCTGCTTAATGGTATTCTCTGGTCAAACATAGATCTAACACCTACAGAACCAGGAACTCTGAATACAGAGGTTTAGCTGTCATGAGGAGGGAAATGCAGCTCTTTCTTCCCAGACAATGCAGAAGACCATTTTTTCAATGTTAATTCCCTATGTCGAGGTTTTGCACAGGTATTAATTAACTTTAATACACACTTCATACGTGGTTACTAATCTACTTTCTGGTCTTTCTAAGCAAGATAAATAATACTTTCCAACTCTAGCCTCTCAGAAGATTGCAGGTCCAACACTCTATTATGAAATGGAGAGGACTGTCTCTATTTTTCACCCAGAAGTAATGCATAACGTACTGAAGTCCAAAACCAAGTTAGCTGATGGCATGGGAATGGGAGGCAATACATTGCATTAATGATCACCACTGGCTCCAGAGGTAAGCAATGCCAGCGTGGAGAGACTCCAGGCAGCTCTGGAGTCCAAATGAGGAGTTTGTCAGCTCTGGAAATACAAGCAGGAGAGTTTATGGGACTGAGATGACCTTTCCTATGAGCAGTGTGGTTAAGAGATGAATGTGCAGGCTCTGGGTTGACTTTATCTTCCATCTGACTTTCCTGCTGAGGAACATCATCCTACTGTGCATAACATAAGCTCTGCCCTCATGCTCCTGTGGTTCGAGCTAAAGGTTTCAGCTGATTTGGGACTGTCAGAGGTGGATGAGAGGCATGTTAAAATGCTATTTAGGGTCAAAAAAAAAACCAGGGAAAAGAATCCCATAGAACTAAAGGCTGCAGTTCACAGGCACTAGAGCTGAGCACACACAGGCGTGCCCAGGCAGAAGGTGGGGATGGGGAAACAAATCCCAGAATTAATGGCTTCAAAAAGACCCAGGGCAGAAAGGTGACTTAAACACAGCCACAGCCACATGGACGGGAATGGTGAGTGCAGCTTCCTTGTGTGCTCAACTGAGGAGATTCTCCTCATGAGAGTTTTCAAAATGTACTGAAAGTTTTCTATTCTTAAACAAAAGAAAAATATTGCAAAACAAATTAAGAGTTTTGTTCATTAACTTTTATGTTAAACACATTAAAACTAACATTTCAGTATTTATTTTCACTGTGAAAATGGGTAAATTAGGTAAGGCTGTGATGGTGAGTGAGAAACAGGAGCACTAACCCAGCTTCTTCCCTGTCAGTCTGGTTCAGTGAGAGCAACGTGGGGCTTTGCATTTCTGAAAGTGAAGCCACTTATTTGGGAGAGTTGAATAAACAAGTTTACCTGCATCTGTACCTCGAGTGCCTCCCTCTAAGGCCCATGCACATTCTTACCCTGCTTTTCATAGCCTGAACAGATAAAATGAACTGTAATTACACCTCAAAGATGTTTTTTCCTCTTGTGGATGCTCTGTTAGGCAGCAAGCCCTAACAGCCTGGCTCCTCACCATGTTACTCCAGTATTACACTTTGATATAATCCATTGGACCAGTGGTTTCAGGAGTTGGAGAAATGGAACGAAATTATTTCATCACCAGACACAAAAATCTTTTGAACTCTCTTATGCTGCTGTCAACCAAATTGTTGCTTCCAGTCTAGTTGTTTCCATTTTCTGAAGGCATCCAAAAATCCTCTGCAATTTTTTTTTTTTTTTTTTTTTTGGCTTTCAGGCATATTTCACAGAATGGTTTGGGTTGGAAGAGACTGTAAATATCACCTAGTTCCAATCCCCTCTCAATTTCATTTGTTGAAATTGAGAACATGTCAAAATTCTCTCCCGAGGTGGGAACCCTGAAGTATTCATTTCCTGAAAAGTTCAGCTTTACTAATCACAATCAGACACTACCCAATGTAACAGGTCCTCCTGGGCTTGTAACAGCCTTGTCAGAAATCTCTCTTCCCATCTCCCATGATAATATTATCTTGATGGTGGCTTTGAGTCATTTTTGTGGATGTTTACAGTGGTATCTACTGAATTTCCTCCTGCATTTAAGGGGGAATCAACCAAAGTCCAGTGAGAGATTTTCCAATGTCTTCAAAAAGAGTAAGATAAGGCACTTGAAAAGATCATTCATTTAGAGAAAATAAGTTCACTTTGCAAGTACTTACATGCTGCTGGGCTGGAATCTTTGCTAAAGGGATTGCAGGCTCTACAGTGTGTGTGAGTCATGCTGGTGAATCAGAGTTTTCCCTGGTTTTCCAACTGTGGTTTCCTTTGTAATAAAGCATACATTGTATTTTCACAGCCAAAGCTCCACCATCACATCCCTTTCACAGATGTACATGCTAAATGGGAGAAGCTATCCATGGGCTCAAGTAGCTCACACAAATAAAAGGGGAATTACCAGAATTATGCAGAATTAGACGCTTTTTTTGTTTATTTGTTTCCAAATGGATCTTTTTCAGGTGCAACGGTTTCAAAATACAGGAAAATACAGTTAAACTGCTAGGTATTTTGGGCAGGAATCAGGCATTTCTGTAGCTAAGTTACCTTCTGTAAATCTAACTTCTCTGGGGGAAAAATGCACCCATTTTTCCACAGAGTAACTCACTGCTACTCTGTGATGAATGTAGTCTTCAACAAAAAACATATGATATACTGCATGGTGCTAATTATCTGATATTTTGCTGTTCTGTCCTCATCCCTCTCTTTACAATATTAATCCTCTAGGCATTTCTGTTGTGGAAATGGTCTTGAAACCATAAAAACAAATGCTATTTGGGATGCTGGGCTCAGCTCCCTGGTTAGTGTAAATCAGCCCTGACTGGTGTGTATTTATATTCCTATCTCTCTCCTGGATATCCAAGCTGTTACCATCTTCTTTGGCCTTTCACAAGATGACCTGAGACCTGAGGAAATGTGAAGTCCCTCACCATAACCCTCCAGATACTCGTGCATTGATGGGAGATGAACCAGATGTACCTCTAGGTCCTTTCACTGATGGACATTGTGATTCATCAAGTTTTTAGCAATACAGAATTAGATCATACCAGATTAAAAATTTTAAAAAGACCCAATTGCCTTAATCATTAGCAAGAAAAAGGAGAACAGAAATAGAGGAGAGAAAGATCTGAAAAGATTTTTGAACAACAGTTTTTAGGGTGTTTGATTTACTATTCAAGTGTGCACAGCTGCTGCTCGGGGGGGAAACGGCACCATGCCAAGAAGGAGAGACAAGGGTAGAACAGTAATGAGAGAGGAGAAGATTGTTTGCAGACTGGACTATTAAATGAGCTTGGGAAAAGGTCCCCTCATTCCCCCCTCCATAAAAAGTTGTCTGCTTCAGGGCCCCAGTATCTCACAGATATGCCACTGAAGCATTGCTGATGCCACGAACTGATGGCAGGACCAGAATCCGCCCTTCATCCCTCCAGTCTGGATTTCCTCAGAGGCAACATCAGCTGCAATAAGAGCTCTCTTATTGGTAGCATCTCCCTTGTGCTCTCCCTGCCACATTTTCAAACGATCAGCTTGAGTGGGACATACACAATTATTCATTTTAGTGAAGCAGCAGCAGTGAACACTGCTGGTCCACAGCAGTTCCAGCTCTCGGTGTGGCAGCAGCACCAGCACAGAGGAAGCCATAAAGCTCCAGCCCCTGAGCTGGGAGCAGCCCAGGTATGGATCAGAAACCCTTGCCAAAACTGATCAAAGCAGCCACTTCCTAACTTTTTAACAAGGTGAAGGATGTCTCCCTTCAGACCCAGAGATTTTTCATCATTCCAGCCCTGCTGTGCCTGTACAGACACTGACTGACTCAGCTGAACAGCACTGATTGTTTCACTCGGGTGACATCCTACAGCATGGCTGCTCATCCTGCTGCTCTGCCATGGGCACCTGATGTTTTTCCCTGCTCCCTTTGATGCTATTTTTGTTGTTCCAGTCTCCTTGCTCACGTTTGGCACTGCTGGAAGGTTTCACCACTCTGCTGTCTCTGTGAGGTACAAGGGAACAGGGGCAGGTGCATTTCTGTCAGAGCAGAGGGTTTGACCCAGATTCTCGTGTGCTCCTCACTGACCAGTGCTCAGCAAGGCTTTGTGTTACTGGTTTGGATTACTTTGTTTATGAGAATCTCGTTTTTGGTGATTAATGCCTGCGCACTGCACAAGAGTGGCTTCAAATTTCTCTTTGAAACACGGCTCTAGAAATACTGCCAGATGATATTTCTTCCCAGGCAAACGGTTCCTTTCTATGGAAAATGGGAATGCTTTGTTGGTTGCAAAAGGCCCTAATATGGTACAAATTATCATCTTATTTACAAACACAGCCTCTTTGTTCCAGTAAGAGGTAAGAATACACTGTTCAAACACTGGACTGTTCAAACTTACCATAAAATAAGCAGGCACTGCCCTCCCAAGTGACCAGTTCAAATGATTCACCAAACCAACTATTGAATTCCACAGTGAGGGCTCTGGACACAACATCTGCTTCTGCCTAGGCTCTGCTGGTCACAGCCTTCTGATCTTCCAGCACTCACTTGGGAGCAGGCTGTGGATGAGCTGGAACTACTTCAGTCTGACTTAACAAGATACATTTATTTTCCGTCCCTGTGGTATGGTCACAATTTCTTTTACCTTTTAGAAAAGAAAATGTTTTAAGGAGACATTTATTTTATTTCTAGTCCTATTGGATTTTTGAGATTCAATTTATCGTGCTCAGTGGTCATGACAAACACAGTGCAGGGAGAATTATTTGAATGCAGAATAACATGAAGGAAAAATTTTCAGAGGAGCTTATGTGACTAAGGTGTACAAATCCCATTGACTTTGAAGCTTCTACCAAATATCTTTCTAATGATCTTAAGAGTCCAGTTGTCTGGTTTACTAATTATGAAACCAATTTTCAAAAGTGTTTTTCAAATGGGACTTAAATTCTTAAGTCACTACAGAGCTGCAGCTTGTGTCTTAGTGAGAACCTTGGTTTTAATTGAGCTTAAAAATACATTAATGTGATTAGCATTACTGTGCGTCAGGACCTTGTTTTCAGGCAGCTGCCTGCTCAGGGGGTGTTGGTGTGTGCCTAGGTGGTGTGTGTGGGCACACAGCCCCAAACAAGTCACATCTTACTTCCGTCCAAACCACTCTGCTGTAGTCTCATCATAATCCTTCTCACACTCTGTATATTTGTTTAAGTTGCTGCATACTATTCAAACTTAATACTTGTTTATGAAAATATTGCCATGATAAAATTTTGATTTTCTTTGCCATCATTCTACCAGCTTAGAAAATACTCTTGAGCTTTTACTCTATGTGGTTTCAAAAGACCCATGCAACGTAAGGCCCTTTTACCTCACTTGGTTTTGAAGATCATTGCTTGGTGTAATATTGGCTACCACTTGCAAATTTTACACATTTTCATGCAGAAGATTTTTAAATTTAATTTGATTTCATTCTCTTTCTCACCTTTCTTGAGTGACTCCCTTTTCTTCGAAGCTGTACAAATTAAAATCCCATTTTGTCACTTGCTGAGTGTAGCAGGATCAATGGCTAAGTATGTCCTTGGAATCAAGTCTCTTGATGATTTTTGCCCACTAATATTGTTCCTGCAGAGACCCCTCAATTTTTTTGAGATAGTCATGCCAGTGTTTGAGTAGATGCAGTTTTTGGCTGACTCTTTCATCCATGGCAAAATATCCCTAAAGCCCCAAACTGCTTCTCACTGTGACTGCTCTGGGGCAGTTTGACTACAGATGTTTTAGAGCAGGGCAGCCTTTTTTTTCTTTCTTTCTTTGGCTTGCTTAAAGACATTCTGTGTAGCTGCATCTGCATTGCAATCAATGTGTGGTCGTTTGGCTGGTTATCCTTTCCAATAGAGCAATTCAATGGTCTGACTGATCTACTGATTTCAAACAGCCAACATGACATTAAAGGGTGAGTCTCTTTGTGAGGTCGTCATTCTATATTTTTCAGATTTAGAAAAGAAACAGTCTTCTTAATAAAAATTATGGTTTTGGACTTCATTTTCTTTCCCTTTCAGTGTGACAGAATTTTTTTCCTATTTGTATAAATAGTACAGCGGACTGAAGGTACAACACACTGTTTTCCTCAGAAGTTACTCATCTTCCTTTTTTGTATGCTTACAGGTAATTACAGACAACGTTATCCTCTTTGAAAATTCCCTGAATTCTTGGAAATGAACTGGTAACCAGTATAGCCTTCTCCTTTTCTGTAGCACTGATATCAAATTCATCAGAACAATCCAAACACTGATTAAGACAAAGTATTAGTTGATTTTGGTTGAGTCATCCTTTGTTTTTATCCCTTTCCTATCCGGTATCTCAATCTCATAATTGCTTTTAAATGTCACACATGGTACGAGAACTGAAACACTGTTTGAAATAAAACATGACCAATTATTTGCTTATTTACTACTAAATGAACATTGTCAAATGAAAACATTATCTTGTTTTCCACATGTAGTGAAGCTGAAGGGAAAGAAAACTAAGGGAAATGGTCCAAACTCCTTTTCTGCAGGGATTTCTGAAAAGAAACATTTTCAGATTATGTGAAATATGCATTTTTTTCCAACAAAAGACACAAAGACATTCTATGATGTAGGAGTGTTGTTAGTATGCAGCGACAGAGCTGAGCATATCCTTTCATCTGTGATTTCTAACTGGTTTACCAATTCTTTGATTTGGAATTGGGTTACCACCTTGACCTTCACATTCAAAGCTTTTCTGCAAAGATTTGGGTTCTTTAGCCTGGGACCAGCCCCACAGTAGCCCGTGGGGAAAATATTGTGGAAAATATTTGGACAAATAAATGGACTAAATACTTCATTTGCTCACCATAAAGCAGAAAAAGATAGCTGAAATCTAGGTATCTCTCTGCAACGTTTTGGACATAGCTCAAGCTTTAAAATTAAGGAAAAAAGCATCAATCTTGCAAGTTATCAAAAATTTTAATTGCAAAACTGGGAGCTGTGAGATACCCCAACCAGAGTGATCTGCACTGGATTCAGATGTACTTCCCAAATAAATCCACTCCCAAAGGATCACCTTGCTAGGTCCAAATGGTGAAAACTTTTTTTGACTACCCAGACTGAGTGAGCCAGTGAGTTGAGCTCTCCCTGGGACAGCTGTGAAGCCATAAAACATACCTCAATGGGGGTTTCTGGGGGCAGGCAGAATTGCAGTGGGACTTCTTGAAGTGCTCCAATGCATCTGAGCTCACCAATA